TCTTTGCTTGTTCTTTTGGTAACAGGTACCGATTGTTCCTTGGGGTAGGAGTCTGATGTCTGCAGAAAGATCATGCCCACCTGAGGGGCTGTGTGTGCGTGTTGGGGGGCTGGACAAAGGTAAGTGACTTCACGTCTGTCACTGTCAGAGGAAACCAGCCTCCAGCAACTGAAGGGCCAGAGGAAAAACGTACGGCGATGATAGATAAAGATGACAGTAAGGTCACAGAGGCTAGGGAAGACAGGAGCGAGAGTAGCATGACGGAGTCAGACATGTGGTATGGCCCATGCCCACCTCAGCCCCTCCTGATGGACCACGTGGAACTGGGAGAAGTGAGAGAGCATCTTTCCTATCTTGGGACATTTATAGGTCGCCTTAAGACATGCATCTTCCGTGGTGACCTGCGTCACGAGGTAGGTGATATCTACATTAGGTCCCTGAGCTCACAGGTGAGGGAACCTCATACCTGCATTGGGGGGAAGTTAAAAGGGGGGCTGGGTGTCAGAGCAGGAAGAGAGAGCAAAAGGATCATGTCTGCTTCTGTAGGGAGATATAACCAACCACGTGCTCACTTTAAGGCAACATAGCTGTTCAGGGAGAATCTGTGGGAACGATATTTAAGGCAGGATCATGTACTTGGACTTTACCTCTAACTGACCAAAGTGGAGGCTTTCCTGCCGTGGAATACCAACCTTCCTGATTCCCTCTGTGATAAGTTAGGGAATAGTCCTCTCCTAGGTCCCTCAATGTTCCTTTCCCACAAGTCTGCTCCTTAGTCACGTGTGAAGGAAGGTGCGGTTGCAGGGGCCAATCGAGGGGCAGGCAGGACCTAGTTGGCCCTGTTTCCTCTGTTGGCTACCAGCCAGAAGGCCCGGGGACAGATGGGGTGGGGAAGTCTCCGCAGTGACCCTGGCGTTCCTCTGTTCGCCATCTGGCTTGCACTGGGTGTGGGGCGCAGGGAGAACAAGGAAACGGACACGCGGAAACGAACTCCTGTCTGCTGACGCACGGGTTAACCTGTTTAGCGCTCAGTGTTTCCCAGCTCCGGACTCGGTGCCAGGGCGGGACGCTCCCCGACGGGTCGCAGAAGCCCTGGTATCGCAAGAGCGAAGCCTTCTTGCAGCCGATCAAAACTCTGCGCGGTTTGAATCCTCTCCAAGCCAGAAAAGACCTGTCGGCCTGCACCCGGAAAGATTCCCCAAACTCACTGCCGTCGAGTCGATGGCGACGCAGGGGCCCCATAGGACACGGTAGAACTGTCCCCGGTGGACACGGTAGAACTGTCCCCGGTGGAATTCTGGAACGCTTTGCAGCGAGGACAGGGCCAGTCTTTCTCCCTGGGAGCGGCTGGTGGCCGGGTGATTGGCAGCTCAATGTAAAACGCGTTTCTCAAAAAATCCAGATGGTGGCAGCACAGAGCCGGCGGGGACCCACCTTGTCCCAGAGACGAAAACCCATGCGGTTCTGCGGCCTCCGGGACTCCCGTGCGGGTCAGAGTGGAACTGGGCTCCGCTGCATTCTCCGCGGCCGGCCGGGTCTCCAAGACTGGCCGCCTGCCTGGCCTAGATTGCCAGATTTTCTTCAGAGGCGTCGCTGGGTGCACTCGCTGCTGCGGCCAGCCTTTCTGGTTCGAGGTTGAAGGCCTTGACCCTTTGCACCACTGCCAGCCGGTTCCAGAGGGCTCCTAAGGAGAGGGGAGGGGGAGAGCAACCGATGCCTTGCTTGGCTGCTGTCCTTATGGAAATAGCCAGGACTTTCTCCTGCAGCCCCCGGGTGGGGTCAGCCAGCCAACGTCAGGCGTCCAGGGCTTAATTGTTCAGCCACCACCTGCACTGCTCCTGGGCTCTCTAGTTCAGTGGCGTGGGCTTATGACGAGCAAAATGCTCCAGAACCTGCCTGTGAGGAGTGGGAGGCTGCAGGCGAGTCTGCTCAGTAGTGTGTCTTGGTCCCTTAGGTGTGACCACCCCACAGCACACAGCACAAGGAAACACTGCCCGGCTGGTCCTGCGCCGCCTCACAAATTGTTCCTGTGCCTGAGGCTGGTTGCTGCAGCCAGTGTCTGTCTGTCCATCTCCTCGCTGTCCCTGTTATTTAGTCTTGTTAGGACTCAATCGAACCGACCAGCGGGGCCAGTTCAAGGCAGAGGGGTCAGCTCAGGAGGATGTGGTCACTTGGTGGATCATATCAGACACAGGATGCTCACAAAGGCTTATGAAGTTTGACGAACGGTGAAAACTGCTTTGGCGAGAATAAGGTTGGGAGAGCTGCAGTGTTGCTATAAATTTCCATATGGACACACTAGCCGTGGTGGTGCTCAGGCCAAGAGCTCAGCTGCTACCTGAAAGGTCAGCAGTTCCAACCCACCAGTGGCTCTGGGGAGAAATACTGGGGACTGCTTGCTGGACTCGCAGCAGGCAGCTCTAATCCCATAGAAAGTTCACCTCAGAACAGAGTTCTACCCTGTCCTAAACGGTTGCCAGGAGCCAGTCTCGACTAGGTGGCTGTGCGTGTGTGTAATTTATTAGCTAGGAGAGCCAGAGGGCGGGGATCAGGAAGAAAGCCGTCCCTCGTGGAATTGAGATAAAGTGCTGGACTGAAAACCACAAGGTCAGCAGTTCAAACCTCCCAGCCACTGCTCTGTGCAAGAAACAGATGGCTGTTTCTGGAGATTACAGCCTTAAGGGGCAGTTGTCTCTGAGGGTGGCTGTGGGCTGGGACACACGGCCCTTGGGGCTGTCCTAGATGCTGAAGGAACTTAAGCAGCTTTTTCAGGTCAGTGCCCCAGCCCTCACGCTGACAAGAGGCTCCCTGGGCTATGAGCCTGAGCTCACGTGGCCATGCTGGGACAAGGGGCCCGACCAGCCCTCTGTGGCCCAACTGCTGTTGCTGTTCCTGCTGTGGGTCAGGGTCACATTTGAATCTGTACAACTGCTTTTCCCTGCGGGTCAGGTGCCTAGCCGGTCAGTCTCTTGGGCAGTGGCTCCAGGTCACCTTTTACACCCTCCCAAACTCAAGAACCACACGGAGCAGGGACAAGTGGATAGTGCCATTTATTGCCACAGCCCTCCTGCTCCACCTGGCCCTCTGCAGGGCCGGTCTGCGGCTGTGTCCCTTGGCCACCCCAATCCAGGAGTGGGCACGGGGGGAACAGGAGATGGGCACGGAGGGCCGGAGAGGACTCACAGGGGAGAAAACATGGGGGATGGAGTCGGGGCGGGCATGATTAAAACGAAGTCTAAACGGGCGCAGGGCCCTGCCAGGGGACGGCTCCACACAGAAAAGGCAGGTTCTCTCCAGGCCAGTGGCGTGGGGAGGGCTTGGTGCGCCCTGCTCGGTGTCCATTGTCCCTTGGTCTCCAGTTCTTTCAGGCCGAGCACCCAGGGAGAGGGTGGGCCAGGCGGAGGGACAGGGCTTGGAGGGTGGGCGTAGTCCAAAAGGAGAGCTAAGTGGGCCTAGTGCCCCTCCCCTAACTCCTCACTGCCCACAAGGGGCAGTGTGGGGGTGCCGGGCAGGTACCAAGACCCTCTGCCCGTCTCCCCTGGGTCTCTGGATCCCTGCCCAGCCAAGGGAGCCCGAGGGGCCTGCCCATGCCCCCGGGCCACCGCCCCTACCGTGCCTCCCCTCGGCACTCGCTGCACCTGGCACCCTCCTCCTCCTCCTCCTGGTCACCCTCCTCCTCCTCGCCGCCCTCGCGGTAGAAGCTTTGTCCGCAGATGCTGCAGACAGCGGGCGCACCTACGGCATGGACCAGCTTGTGTCTCCGCAGCGCCGCGCCCTGCACGAAGCCCTCCCCGCACTCGACGCATATGTGCGCAGGTTCCTCGCCCCCAACCGCCCCGGGCTCGTCCGCATGCTGTGCACGCTGGTGCGCCAGGAGCGCCGCGCCGTGCCCGAAGCCCTGGCCACACTCCAAGCACACATAGGGTTTCGGGGCCGGGGCACGCCGCGATCGGGGCCCTGGCGCCCGGGGCCCCGCCTCCATCTCCATGGCCGCAGCCGCCGCGCCCTCCCCAGCCGCTCCCACCACGATGATGCCCTCGCCATCGCCCACGGGTATGGCCAGCTCGCCGTCCGCTGCCGTGGCCTCGTCGGGCGTGTTGGCAATGCGCACGCTCGCCGCCAGCACCTTGGCCGCCACCCCGGGCCCGGCCAGCTCTGGGTGCAGGCGCAGGTGGCGCGCCAGACTCTTGGGCTGGCTGAAGCTGCGGCCGCAGCGCGGGCACACGAAGGGCTTGAGGCCGGTGTGCGAGCGCCGGTGCTTGGCCAGGCTCTTGCTCTGCGTGAAGCTGCGGCCACAGTCGGGACAGGCGTAGGGCTTCTCGCCGGTGTGGATGCGCTGGTGCTGCATGAGGTTGGAGCTCCAGCTGAAGCGCTTGCCGCACTCGGAGCAGGCGTAGGGCTTCTCGCCAGTGTGGATGCGGCGGTGCTGCACCAGGTGCGAGCTCTGCGAGAAGGTCTTGCCGCAGTCGGCGCAGGCGTTGGGCCGCTCGCCCGTGTGCGTGCGCTGGTGCCGCGTCAGCTTGGACCAGTGGCTGAAGCTCTTGCCGCACTCATTGCAGATGTAGGGCGCCGGCGGACGCGAGCGGGGCGGGGGGCCGGCTGGGGGCGCCGCTGGGGGTGAGGACAGCTTTGTGGGGGGCCAGCTAGGGACGTCGTCGTCATCCATGATGAGGATATCCACTGCAGGTAAGAAGGCGAGAGGGGAGCAGACTCAGAAGTGGGGCTTGGGAAGGGCAGGCCTGGGCCCTCCACCAGCACCCAGAACGCAGGATCGCCCGCATGCCCACCTGAGGGCTAGTGCCCCAAACTCTCAGGCCAGTGGGACCTCTAGGTTGGCAGCAACCGTTGGGCACCGGAGGCCCCAAACCCTAATCTGAACCAAAGGCTCAGCATGGGTTTCCTCTGGAGCAGCTGGTGAGTTTGAACCGCCAACCTTGCGGCTAGCAGCCAATGCCAGATAAACCGGGCTGTGCCCCATGCCCTGCTCTCACACGAGTCTGCTGGCTCTTGGGGCTGAGAGCCCTAACCTGACACCAGTGATGGCTATGGCGGCTGGCCCCGAGGGTTTGGACGTGTATTCTCACTCATGACTGCCTTTGGATCACCTGCACTGTTCAGGAAGTCCTGCCTGACACCCACCGGAAGGGGAGTCTCGTAGAGGGGGGGGCCTGCAGAAACGGAAGTGGACCACTCAGCAAGGTGGATAGAGGCTGAGAAGTAGGCGCTACAGGCTTTTTTTGGGGGGTGGGGATAGGGTACAGCAGGATTTTTATCACCCAGTCTGCTGCACTGCCTGTACAAAATGCACTGTGGTTCCAGGACCTTAAAGCCCCAGCAGGAAGTGGAAAAGAAAGGGCTCTCTGCAGGGCCAGGCCGGCCTCAGACCCAGGAACGCGCCTGGAGCAGACGGGCTGGGGTCAGCTCAGGCTCATCCTATCCGGTGGATCTGAGGCACTGGCTTAACAAACGTGCCACACTCGTGCTTGTGGCCTTTGGTGTGGGTTCTCAGTGGCACACGCCTGCGAGAGTTCTGACGACCAGGTGGAAGAACACAGAGGCGGGGTTGTTAGTGGAAGCTGCAGGGACCCAGGGAGCTGGGTACGTGCCCTGGATGGATGGACAGGCAGA